TGTCCAAACGAACGATTTACTGAAAGAGATTTTAATGCAGAATTATTGACTTTTAAATATTAATTTAATTAAATTAAATTAATTAAATTAAATTTAATTAAATTGAAATACATACATATTTTACCGTAATAAAACCGATAAAATGTATTTTATCAATATATTCAATTTAATCAATTTTTCATTTTTATTCATTCTGTACATTACACTACATGTCAGTAAGAAAACTTTCTACATTTTATACCCTATACACGTATAGAGAAAGGTTAAATTTAAGGCTTTCTTACATCACTCTACAACCCTTAGGAGTGGAGCAATACCATAGAAATTATTATGGTGGCCACTGAAGTTATATGTTGAATTAATTATGATTTCAACTCATTATAATATCAACTCATTTTACTTAACTCGCTGGATAGTTCTTATAATTTAGGACTTACTTTGAGCTAATAAAGTATAGCAATTATTTAACTTATGATTAATTATTGCTTAAACATCAATTTAGTCAATCACCAGATTTCGCCTGATGTCCATCACACCCCTTACCCTGCCCCCCCTCCCCTCCCCTCCTCCTCCTCCCCTCCTCCTCCTCCCCCCCCAACTTGTTAATTATTTTTTTCTGTATTAAACGGACATGAATAAGATAAAATTTTATTTCCACACCCAGTGACAAATTTGGCAACAACAACAAACAAGGCAGATCTACAAACGCAGATACAAATGAAACTATATAAATAAAAACATATAATTTATTGTTACATTCATTATCTTGTGGCCTTACACTTCAATCAGGTAGAGTAAGGCGTAGAATTCTATTTACATAGTAGTCTAAGCATTGTATTGTAGAGCCGTAGTGCGTAAAGTCAAGAACTCGGGCGTTAGAGCCTTTCACTTTCAACCTGCTAAGTGCTCCTGAACACGATAAATTATTTATACATACACTGATTTAATTAGATAAAGCACCTTTATGTTTTATTTCTTTGTGGGCATATTATTTCTTCTGAACACATATACATAGCACTGGCAATTTGTTTTTTTACAAACTGAAATATTCTCGTACCTTATCTCAGCGCAGCTTTTTGCGCAGCCATTGTGTATCAATATCACTTTTATACTTAAAAAAACAATTTCATACATAAAAAATAATTTAACATCGCAAATAATTGCAAAGTCTCCCCTGTATGTGTAAAATATTTTTAATATTTTTCTTAAGTACTGAAAGTTACAAATTATTGTCAAAACTTTTATATAGCTTCTGCTGGCACCGACTTCGAAAATATCTAATTAGGTATCTATTCTAAATGAAAACCTCCGTTTAGTTATTTTTTACAATTTTAGTGCCTGGAAATCGTTTTTTATTTTTTGTTAAAAAGTTTTTATATATCTAACTGTAATCAAAACAAATAAGTAAAATAATCTCTCACCTGTCTCACACCACGTATACCTGGCATTCCAGGTCAACTCGTGCTCTACATACGAGTATGTTAATTTCTTCGGTTCATTTGTTCGAAGATAAAAAAATAGTTTTTTAGTATACTGGCAAATTGGGCAAGAGGGTTACAATTTTCACGTACCAATTATATTTAATTATGATGTCTGGAAGGTTTCGTCATTTATTGGCCAAAATGTAAACAGTTGATGACTAACATCTAACGTCTCTCCGTCTGTCTACGCACGTAGTTCCAGATTTTATTTGTCTTTAATATGACTACTAAGTTTTACTTTACAATCGGTTATGATAAATACCATAGAGTATCAAAAATAGCCTGAGTTCATGTTGTTTGTTAGAGAGAAAATGTGAAACGAATGTCTAAAAAGGATAAGGTTTAAGCTAAAGACAAAAGGAAAGTGCTGGCAAAAGCTGACTAATTTTTATACTTTCTTAAATATATTGATGTTTTAAATAAAACTATCTTTTCGGATTTTTTCGCGGATCTATTTGATTTTTGGTTCCCGACGTTTCGAATGCTTTACAGCAATCATGGTCACGAGAGAGACTAAAACATTCGAAATGTCAGGAACCGAAAATCAAAATAAATCCACGAATAAATCCTAAAAGACAGTTTTATTAAAAATGTCAAATATTCTCGTAAATCTAAGAAAGTATTATATTGATATTATTGAAAAATAATCCGTGCCTTGTAAGCTATGGTCATATGTGCAGTTTAAAGTAAATATAAACGTTATTTTTTTAAGAAAATTGTATTTTAATGGGCTAGGGGCCTCCACACAGACATTTATCTTCTTCAAATGTTGAATGAAAAATAGTCCATCATTGCACGTAAATAGAACAACAACTTTTTCTTCTGTGAATATATGAAATATATTTACAAAACATTTCTGGTAGTTTTATTCCATCACAACAAATTTTACACAATAAGATTACACTGCGAATACTTTAATACGAGATGAAGACGTCTAAATGTATTTAGATTATTTAATGATAATATATGAGTATCAGTACATAAACAAGTGTCTTAAAGTTGCGCACTTTTTCTCCACAGCCCACTGACTATAAAAAGTTGCAAGTTCGATTCTCGAACGGGGCATTGTGGCTCGATGATCACAGAAATCAGTTTGTGCGCTTTTAGTATGGTCCCTTTGCTTAGCTAACCTCGCAAAGTTATAAAAGTTTAACTTTCTAACTTAATGAACTTTTTAGTTTTTAGTTTATTAAAAATATATGCGACCGTCGAAATAAGTATAGGTATACATAACAATATGGAACGTTAAATATGTACTTCTTCGAAATAAAAAATCTAATATATTTCGATACGTAAAATACATCACAAATTGATATATTATAATATTTTAACTATAATTCGAGTTCATACATAATCATATTTACCTATTAGATAATCATTTCTTAAAATATTGTCGGCTGGCACCGACTTCGAAAATATCTGATTAGGTATCTATTCTAAATGAAAACCCCCGTCTAGTTATTTTTTACATTTTAGTGCCTGAAAGTCGTTTTTTTAGTTTTTATTCTTCCATTTTTAGTGTAGTCGTAATAAGCAGATAATTTGTAAGAAGAAAGTTTTTTAATAACATATTCGATTAAGCAGTTTATTTTAGAAAATAATTTGTTGTAGATTTTTTTTAAAACCGCTCGACCGATTTCGATAAAATTCAAATGGGACCAATCTGGGAAGTACTTATACCCTTCGAAACAAAAAAAAATCCAAATCGGTTCAGGCGTTTTCGAGTATTGGTAAACATACATAAAAAAAAGATTCCGACGAATTGAGAACCTCGTCCTTTTTGGAAGTCGGTTAAAAAAGAACTATCATAGCGATTTAACGAATGTGTTGCAAATTACAAGCATGTGATAAACGTAAAAGCTGTAATTATCTGCAACCCACACTCCTAACATATGTTATTATCTTTTTATCTTATTATCTATTCTAATATTATAAATAGGAAAAAATAGTTTTTTTATTTGTTCATTTGTATCTAATAGGCTCGGAAACTACAGAACCGATTTAGATGAAATTTGGTAAGAATATAGTTTGAGACCATGGGAAGGACAAAGTATAGTTTTTATTCCGGAAATCATCCCTTAAGAGGGTGAAAGTTTGTATGGGGAAGCAACCTAGAGACGAACCCGAGCGAAACGAGGGTGAGTTGCTAGTCTTATATAAAAAGATGCCGCGGTGGTATAGTGGCTAGCTAGTAGGGCTGCATAGTAAGAGATCCTAGATTCGAGTCCCAGGTCAAGCTAAGTAATAATAGTTTTTCTACCAAGAGTTTTTCTGCCTCGAAGAGCATGTTTCGCGTCGGTCCTGCACCTCATCTCTCACCATGAATCTCAAATTGTCATCCCACCGGAGTGTGAGAGTGAAAGGAATAGAGAGTGCACTTGCATACATATTAGTGCACTATAATATCACCTGCTATGGCTAGTCTCGAGCTAGCTAGAGATTGGCCGCCGTGGCCGAAATCGATCAGGACAGATACTATTATCTTAATTATTTGTAATTACAAAGCAGAGAGGAATTCAAATAATAAAAAAGCCAAATTAAAGTGGTAAAATATTTTGTAAGTGGTTTCCCAAGCGAGCGTATTACCAAGTATGTATTAATAAGCAGTTTTTTGAGAATATGCCTGTGCGAGCGCACGTAGTGCATTTATCTGCCTACGTGAATAAAAAACACATACATCCATAGTTTTATTTAAAATTTAAAAACCTAACATTTTCTAATCTAAAATAGCTTTCTTGTTTACTTTTTAATTAAGTAAGAACAAACGAAACGCTAGTCATCGTAAGTTAGAATAGGAATTACATAACACTCCATTCTCTCAGTGCCTGTTTAATTAAGATTCACAAATCATAGTTTACGCCGCCTACGTTTAAGTTTACTGCTAGAATGTTTCATTTAATTTAAAGCTTCAACTAAATATCAAACTATAGCAATATTAGAGATAACTTGAATAAGAGCTTACCTATATAATAATAATAATAGTAAGGATCATTTATTTATTCATACTCAACAACACTCATATGAGAAATAGATAGATTCTTATAATTATTACAAAGTAACACAAGAAAACACATGTGACATGTACATGGGACAAAAGTATAAGTTACATGTGAAAAAGACCTATATCTACTCATAAAAAGGCCATTTCATACGTCATATGAAATCGCGACGCTATTTCATTGGCCCATTTTAAGGTGTGGAAATTTACGATAGCATACGTAGTAAAGCTGACGTTTAAGGAGTAAATTCCTTCATGAATGATTGATTGACGTAAAGGGTAGATGGGTTATATCAAATATGCACATTCGTATTAGAAGGGACGATAGATTTCCTATTATTTTTAAGTAAACACCCAAAAAATCTGCAAATCACTTTCAAAACTTAATTATAAAACGACTCATAAAAAATATGACGGAAATTTATATTTTTTACGTAAAAATGTATGTTGAATCTGGAAATCACTAAAAATTTACGATTTAATTACATGAGTGTGATTTTCGTTAAAAGATTGTGTAAGTAATGATGTCCTTCCGACCGGTTTTGGCCACAGCGGCCAATATCCCTGGCATGAGACAAGCCAGATGCGCAGGAGATATTATAGTGCACAAGTGTACGCGCAGACACAACGTGCACTCTCTATTCCTGTCACTCTCATACTCCGGTGGGACGATAACTCGACACTCGCGGGAGATCAGGCCCAGAACCGAGGCGACACGTGCTCTCCGAGGCGCGGGGGTGAAGCACCGCCAACTTCTCAACAGTATAAGTGTATTAAGTACCACGTGACCGAACCGAGAGCAAGCACCGTGAAATAAATAATTTACGTGTTGAACCCATTTGACCTAATAGGCGTGAAAAAGCAAACTGCGCAGTAATCGTAAATTAATTCGGGAATATTCGCGTTTGAAACCGTGGAGGTGGCGAATGTTTGGTATCGAAAATATATATTATTTTACCATCCTTAATTAAAATTAATCTATATTAAATATATCAATCAATATCTTATTAATATTATGAATTAATAGTTTGTAAGGATGTATGGGTGTGTAAGTGTAGGTTTGTTACTCTTTTACGCAAACCTACGACTGTCTAATGAATTTCGATAAAACTTTACTGTAAAAGCTTTTACATCAGAGTAACACAATGCCATAATTTACAAAAATATGGTCCAAACTACGCGGGTGGAGCCGCGAGTTAACGCTAGTAAATAAATGCACTGTCTTAAAAGCAGCAATAAAACTATAAATTGTGTTTTACGAAAGTCTTAAGTATCCTACGATTTAACTTACCCGAGAAAAAAAAGTTAGTAGGTAATAAAATTAATAGTTATACATACATATATGGACAGTGCCATATTTTTGGCTGCATTGTAATGCGTACAGTAAAGTTATCTATCCTCAATCTAGTTTGTTATCTTCAAAAAATGACGCTTCAGCACCAGACGGTCGTTCAACGTGAATTCATTTGTTTTCAAAATGCAGAGTTACGATGCCCCTGATATTTTTTTTTATTTTCACAATCTTTCTTGTGGAACAAAGAACGTAGTAGTTAGTTATCTGGCAATGTCGTGACCAATACAAAAATCTAAATACTAAACACAAATTTTGTTTAACATATTCATATTATGAGTTATATTATGCTTGCTACAATATTCGTTAGTTTTTAGTTTAAAATATACTTATGAAGAAATGTCAAAGGCCCTCTTCGGAGGGCGGTGTACCATGCGGGTTGCTCCTGGTACTTCTCTGATAGCAGAGTGGACTGTGGAGCAACCCCGTGGTTGTTGTGGTCTGCTTCGGCAGACCTACCGTCGGGGCGTCGTAGTTGAATGCGTAAGCGATCCTACGACGTCCCATTAAGACGGGGGAAGGCTTTGTTGGGTTTTAGTGGATAGTACTGGCTTTGCCGGTGAGTCCCACACCTCGTGCGTAAATGCATTTCCCAACGTTAAAAAAAAAAAGGTCTTCAAAAGGCATACAGAAAAATCTCCAAAGCATAGTGTGTATCTTCTAAGTACTCACAGTAACTTTTTTATCATTTAAACCTATATATAGACCTAGACCTCGGGACACATCCGAGCGAAACGAGAGTAACTAGTCTGTAGTACTATACTAATATTATAAAGAGGTAAAGTTTGTGACGTTGTAGGAGGTAATCTCTGGATCTACTAAACCGATTTAGATGAAATTTGGTAAGAAGATAGTTTGAGACCCTGGGAAGGACATAGGATACTTTTTATCCCGGAAATCATCCTTTAAGGGGGTGGAAACGGGGATGAAAGTCGCTAGTTAATAATAAGTAGATATGTAAACGTGATATGCAAATAAAATTAAGTCAATGAATCGTTATGAAATCAACGAGACATTTATGTTAATTTATTCAGTAAAACTTCTCCAAACAATAACCCAGCAAAGATAGTCAAGCAATTGTCTTCATTTATCATAGAAATTATAAACATTTTCGGTTGTTCAAAAACACGAAAACAGTGCGACAAACCTCTATATATTGCGGTGAAGTATCGTTATCACTACATCATCTATACATATAATAAAATTGTAACTAAGCCGAATCTGTACATTAAATAATTTTTGGAAAATCTTATTAAAATAGACATTATCGATACAGAGGCCGAATCTATAGTTTTTAGAATTTTTGTGTGTCTGTCTGTTACCGCATTACAGAACAACCTCTGGATGGATTTTGATGAAATTTGGTATGGTGATAGCTGGTTCTCCGGGTCAACATATAGGATACTTTTTACCGCGGGAAAAATATCTCATTTCTGAGAAAAACTACAAAAACTGCATTGTAAGAGTATAATAATATGTAAAACCTAAGAATTTCGTTTTTGGTCATCTGAACGCGAGCGGAGCCGCGGGCAATGCTAGTTATCTGTATCACACTGGTCTAAAAATAGCTTAATTTATATTTAGCGAGTGCGCGCTATAGCGGGAGTCTGTGAGACATCGTCAGAGATATGAATGAACCAATGTTTCAGTGACGACTTAAGTTTTAGGAAAAATATAAAAATAGTTTTATAGGAATTTTCTAAAGCGGATTTTTTACGAGTCTCTTAGACATTTTAATATTTTTAACAGTTTACAATTTTTTTATGAAAATATGTAATAACGCTATTGTTAGATATATGTATTAGAATTTTGTACCATCATTTGCCCGTCTTTCCGTGCGTCTACGCTACTATTAGGATGATTGTCACGTCTTACGGTAAATAAAGAAATCGTGAGGAAACCTACATGTCTGAGAGAACCTAACAATTTTTCGACAGATATGTGAAGTCCGCCAAACCGCACTAGGCCCGCGTGCCCGGGATATGGCCATAGTCACATGGCTTGATCTAACTCGTAGTGAAGTTACGTTAAAAAGTGCTTTAGACATTAACATCTCGGTAGATAAAATGTCGGTACCTAGTAACTTAGCTGCTTTGGTGGTGTAGTGGCTAGCATGTACGGCTGCACACCCGGAGGTCCTGGGTTCGAGTCCCGGGTCGGCCCAAGTTTAGTTATTGAGCCTTTCTGTATAGTAAGCCTCAGTAACAGCCCGGAGTTGGGAAGTTGGCGGTGCTTCACCCCCGTGCCTCGGAGAGCACGTAAAGCCGTCGGTCCTGCGCCTTAACTCTCACTGGTCGTGTCAAGTAGTCGTCCCACCGGAGTATGAGAGTGACAGGAATAGAGAGTGCACGTTGTGTCTGCGCGTACACTTGTGCACTATAATATCTCCTGCGCAGTTGGCTAGTCTCAACGAGACTAGCCGCCGTGGCCGGAATCGGTCAGGAGAACATCACCTAGTAACAATATTTTGTAAAATATTATGCAATCTAATTAAAAAAAAGGGACATATTTTTATTTAATTAATGTATTTTTTTTTATTTACTTAATTAATGTTATTTAATTATTTAGTCTAATTAAAAAGAAGAAAAATATTAGAGAGTAGGTAAAAATTATAGCTGACACCGATGTAACATGCGTAAGAAATTGAAAATAGTTTATTTAATGTTAAGCTAATATACGTAATGGATACTTCAGAATGAATGGAATAATATTTTTAGCACATCGTTCTATTATGCATATTGCCTCATTAAAAAATACTACGTAAATTTACTTTTCATAACAAACAATTAGATTTACATAGGACAGAAATGGTCTTAATACAATGATAAAAGATATAAACAATACGCCCTTAGATTAAGGAATAATCAAAGACGTAGAGAATGGAGTGAAAAATACTGTCTTGAAATTTTTGACAAAGAGAGAAAGCTAACGTACGGTCAATACCCGTCTTTTATTCCAATTTGAATTTATAGGGAAAGAGAAACAACTATAATATTATTGATAATTATAATATTATAATTACATTTAAAATTTTTATAAATACCTATCTTCATTTATCATGTATTTTAATGAATATTCGCGCCTGTCCGCCAATATTAGATGACGGCTGACAAAGAAACACTACTGCTCACTTAAGCTACCACCTACATTTCATCCAAATCCGTCCAGCCGTTTTGGCGTGAAGGAGTAACAAACATACACACATACATTTCCCATTAATAATTAATAGTAGTCCGATAACAATAAATGGCCTAAACCAGACGCGATAACACATTGCGATGGGTGCGCAAGCGCCGCCCCCCAGTGCCACGGGCCGACGTCTCTCGGGAACAAATGCGTACTTTACACAATACACATACATATTATCATAAAACATTAAACTCTCTTATCAATTTCGTAGAACTGTGTTTTTCTGTGTATTGTTTGTTTTTTTTTATCTTCACGCGGAAGGGCCCACTAGAGAAAGAAAGAAAAAGTAGTGTTATTGGTACTCGTTTTATCGCATTCAGATGACCCAAAACCAAATTCTTAGGTTTTACATATTAGTATACTCTTACAATGCAATTTTTGTATTTTTTCTCAAAAATTAAATATTTTCCCGCGGTAAAAAGTATCCTATATGTTGACCCGGATAACCAGCTATCATCATACCAAATTTCATCAAAATCTGTCCAGTGGTTTTTTCGTGATGCGGTAACAGACAGACAGACAAAAATTCTAAAAACTATAGATTCGGCCTCTGTATCGATAATAATGTCTATTTCAATAAGATTTTCCAAAAAATATTTAATGTACAGATTCGGCTTAGTTACAATTTTATTATATGTATAGATATTATAATGGACGGGAAAATACGTTACAATTATACATACTTTGTTTATTTATAATAAGCGATATCTTACTTAGATACAAGCTTGTACATTTTAACGTACATCATATGTTATGAATGCATTTAGAAAGATTGGAATGTTGTAGATGAATCTTACTTATATGATAAACCAGAAAATGTACGCCAACAAATATTAGGTACCTATATTATAATAAAGAAAAAAAAGCTATTTTTATGCCATCTCCTACTGTACGGAAACTTTAAACGGAAAGAGAACTAATATTTAAAAAATACAAAGAATATAGTATTATTTTTAATATTTGAATACATATTTTATCTTCAAAACTTTGTAGTATAATTTAAGTAATAAAACACATATATAAAATTTCCCTTACTGTTTAAAGAACGAAAGTATCTTTACATATATCACTATCGGGAATAGTAGCTTAAACAGCAAATCACGCTATTTTCGACTTTGACATTTATTTTGGCGGAAAGTAAAAATGGCGTATTTTAAATAAAACAATCTTTTCGGATTATTTCGCGGATTTATTTTGATTTTTGGTTCCCGACGTTTCGAATGCTTTACAGCAATCATGGTCACGGGTGAGACTGAGGTTATAGACGTCTCAAACACATACTTGTTACAGACAGTGCCTACCCACTATTTTACGAAAATGATTACAAATACTCAAAAATGGCAATAAAGTACCTTAAAAATCTACTGGTCTGTTATATTTGTTTTTGTTGTTAAATTTTATCATGTTTATTACAGGATCCAGAGATGATGGTAGTACCCAGCCATCTTCCCTATTGAAGATGGAAAAGATAGTTTTATTTAAAATGTCAAATATTCGTGTAAATCTAAGAAAGTATTATAACGTATTTTACTAAAAAGCATAATATTTTACACAGTATTTTATACAATGTAAATAGTTCGACTGATATCGATTTCAATTGAATCATTTGTATGCAAACGTGTTCCCATAACTTACCATTTCAAAGGATTCTGTATATAGGTTTACGTCGAAACCGGCTTGTAGAGTCTAGGTCACGTAATGACGTTATATACGTAATTCGGAAAAATTGTAGAATAATGAGTTCAAGGTATCGTAAGTGCTAAGGAAAGTTTTGTTCCTTCGTTTTGTTATATCTGACCTTACGAAGTTAGAAGTGTTCACTTGGGGTCATATTAATTTTCGTCATACAGTTTAAAATGTAACAAAAATAGATATATACGTAATAACTAATTTGTATCTCCTAAGAAAACTATAAATAGAAATGAATAAACGAAAAAAGCACAAATGCAGGTCACTGAACCCGTTTACTAATAAACTACTTACTTTACTTATATAATATGTCGATGTGAGTGTGTGTTAGTAATTTCCCTTAAACAACTGGACGGACTTTGATGAAATTTCTTCGTGTAATTATGGAGTCACAAGAATTGTTCTTAATAAATATTCTTAATAAATCTTGGTTTTGTTTTTGAAGTTATACTTCTTTGAAACGTTTGGAAAAAAATATGAGAGTAAAATTCTTACGATGCGCGCGCACACCGACAGCCAAAAAGCGACATGATGAAGTTAGCTGCATTCCTTTTACAAACAGAGGTTGTGACATACGGGATAAAATGTTTAGCTATTTTTGTTCTGTTACGTCAAAGAACTATACTTCTTACGTGCGTACATTTTTTTTATGTTTTCGAATTTCTCAGGAAGAAAACCCCTAGTCTTCCAGTGTAATGCCTCATAATATATTATTTTTATGTTAATGAATTATTAAAAATTAATTTAATAAATAGGTACATACATAGACAATAAAAGTTCATGGTTACTAATTTATAGTAACAATTTAATATAGCGCTAACCAGAATAAAAGCAGACCACAGCACTAGTCACATCAATTCATTATATGGAACCAAACAACAAACACACATTCGTATTTTTGCTATTAGTAAGGACTAAGAAATTAAGAATTTAATTTTAGAATTCTGCTCTTACAGGATCCACAATGCTGAAAGAATTTACGCATCTCTTCATGAGGCACACGTCACCAAGTCGTCGTCATCTCACTCCTGAGATCGTGCTCCGCCTCATCACACCCTCGTGCCATCTCTGGTCTTCACCTGTCGAGGAGTCTCCCTTCATTGACCCTTTTTGGGGGTTCTATTGGCCCGGGGGGCAAGCTACAGCTAGGTATGTATTGTATTTATTAAAATAAATTACATTAATTCTTTTTGAACTACTAATTATAAATGTGAAAGTTTGTAAGAGTATGTATGTTTGTTACCCCTTTAGACTAAAAATACTGGACGGATTTGGATTGAATTTAGTATACAGATAGATATATGACGTACGGTAACATATAGACTACTGTAAGGCTTGTAGACACGCACCCAAGTAAAGCAAATTTAACTGGCTAGTGACGGAATAATGGTAGGACCATGTATTTATTCATTGTTTTTAAGTAGAATAAGTAAAAAATGGATTCATATCTGAGATACTATTAAAGAAAAAACTTTAAAGGGAGAAAAATACCTACCCAAAAAACTGATTCACACTAAAATTCTCAAAAACCAAAAGAACAACTAAAACATTAAGTCATATATAGTTTTTCAACGAAATTGGGCTTTTTGGCCGATGACCGATTTAGATTAGGATCTAATCTAAGAAATAAGTGAATGTAAAGTAAAAAGTCCCTATATCATAACTTTGTATCGAATAAATGTACCTAATAGTAGTACCTGTTATAATCAAAATTTATTTTAAAATATATCCGAAAAAAGATTACAAATTTAAGTAATATTATGAAAAATGTTTTAAAAGACAACATAATTGCAAGTGCGATACCATTCAGACAGAGAGACAATAGCATTCCCAAGGAGGGTTGACGTCAGGCAGGCGGCCGGACGTACAACTTTTGCCAAATCCTTTCAGCAGTACAGAAGATGTACTGCGCCGACCCCAAGTGATTGGGAAATGGGCAGGGAGAAGAAGAAGTACCTGTTATTGCGTTTATTTCTGACATTTTCCCTACACCTGCCGATTCCACCATAGCGGTATAGTATCTCATAAATATGCATACAAGAAGGAAAACGTGTACAATTATTTATATTACAACGTATGTTGCATTTGGGAAAAAATTAGTTACCGGGCAATGTGACCATGGAAACCTGTATAATGTATATCAACATTCAAAGTTTTTATTAGGGCTAGTTAAAAGTTTTTATAGACAAATAGTTAATTCATACTACAGTAGTTCCAGCATACTTAAGTTACGATTAAAATAAATAAATAAGTGGTAAATTCCAAAAAAAACAAAAATAACTTTTAAATTGATTTTGAGGTCAATATTTGACGACACGTTTGGCTCAGTTGGTAGTGACCCTACTTGCTGTGCCAGCTGTCGCGGGTTCGAGTCCCGCTGGGGGCATTCATTTGTGAGATGAGCACGAATGCTTGTACTCCAGTCATGGGTGTTTATATTTATAATATGTATGTATTTATAATTATATATGTGTAGTGTATCAACTATCTGGTATCCATAACATAAGCCTCGTAGCTTACCATGGAACTAGATGGCGCTGTGTGTTAATGTCCCAACATTTATTATTTACTATTATTATTTAATATACCTTATCTAAATAAAAAGCAATTATTGTTTTTGAAGTGAAACTTCTTTAGAATCGTTGTGATTTGAAACTCTATGAAACGGAAATGCGACACTAAAAAGAGACAAACACATAAACATATACGATTAAGCCAGCGAGAAAATGAGATAGAATACATTGCCATGTTGCCATGGTAACCGTTGATATTGTCTGACAAATATATAATAGTATATTCTTTCCGTATATGATATTCTATAAATATATGATTGTAATATGCCCAATATACCTTATTTAATTATAATTGATTTGTTTTAATTTAATTGCGATATTTGCCAAAGAAGTTTTACTTCAACCGCGTGTTTATATTTAATGGACGTTATGACGATTAAATAACAATATTTTTCGTAAACATCATGGAAATTCGTGACCGACGTAGTACAGAAAAAATAGCAAACCCCATATTGTCGTCTAAACACTTGTACAATAATATTAAGATAACAAAATCCTTAAATTAATTAACAAGGAAAATTTTCTATAGGTTTGCTTAGAAATAATTTATATACATTTTTATCTCTCAATAAATATGTATTAAGTCGATGTAAAATAATACAGTTTTTGAAAAGCTTACGCCAATGACATTGATAATGGGTTCGATCCTGTTCCATGTAAACTGTATTAGCTATAAGGATCTTAGTATAACAAGGAATTTAATGTAAGATAAGAGACACAGACCGTGGGTTATTGTCATACAAAAAAAAATAACGACAACGCCCTTTTTAGAAAATGACGTTAATTTGCTAAGTAAAATATAAACATTTAAATAATCTTAATTTTAACTGTAGTTTACATCTGGTTTAATAAGATTTATGTTCAAATTAATTATTTTGAATTAATGATTGTTTGTTGATTAATTTCAAAATTTTTCTTTAACATATGAACGAATTTTCCATACTAGACTTTGTCCAGACCAAAAAATTGGATCCAAAACATTGATGATAAAAAGATTTTTACTAATTCCTATTATACTAAGGCAAAAAAAATATACTTACAAATTATCTTTTATAAGTAAGTAGCCAGGAACAGCATGGAGACGAATACTAGTCTATACAATATACACGTCAATGGATTATCAGAAAACATTTTATAAGTGAGCCAAATTGATATAAAAAATACTCGATATTTTGTAATGCAACGTATAAAAAACCCAGACGACTCACTGCACACTGTAGTAAAATATTTATCAATGAAATATCTCCCGATTGAAACGTTCTATGTACTGTATATCATCAAAACAAAAACACTCTTATATCGTAAAAAAATAGAACTTATTTTCCATTCATTGATATGGAAAAGGAATTTCATTCAATATTCAACCTTATCCTTTCGCTACAAAGATAATAATGAAATACTTCCATATGAGTCATACTTTTGTGGGTTTTACGCTTCTATTTATAGTCCTAGTGGCTATTTTTTATTGACATATTAGTGACTATCATTAATTATCGTTATTTATACTTATCTCATGTAATTCATCCGGTGTTAGTAATTAGGTACATTTATTTTAAATATAAATATGTTGGGACATTAACACACAGCGCCATCTAGTTCCATGGTAAGCTACGAGGCTTGTGTTATGGATACAAGATAGTTGATACACTACACATATATAACTTTAAATACATACATATTATAAATATAAACACCCATGATTGGAGTGCAAACATTCGTGCTCATCACACAAATGAATGCCCCCAGCGGGACTCGAACCCGCGACCGCTGACACAGCAAGTAGGGTCACTACAAACTGAGCCAAACGTGTTTTACATAATATGATATCGCAGTTCTAACAGATAAAACCCATAGATATAACCAAAATAGTCACTTACCTTGGAATGAAAATTGAAGAAAACTATTCCTGGTCCTCTCATATAGAACACATATGTAATAAATTGAGAGTACTACTCGTATTAGGATAATTTTATCACCTAAGTTTTAGAGTACCTACTAGTACCCTTAAATGTTTATATACATCACTAGTTGACTCAATATTAGGCTACGCCCTTGACTGATATGGTCTTACATTTAAAAGTTATATACAACAATTAGAAGCACTATAAGTAAGATTTTTAAAATTAACTGTATCTAAAAACACCATAAAGGGCTGTAAAGGTGATTATAACAAGCTGTTTAAAATTTGTAATATACTTCCTGTTAGCCTTAAACATAAATACTTACTTCTAGTAAACAACCATGGCAGCCTGGAGCGCTCTTTGTTGGTGACACATGCGCACGGTACCAGGTCAGTATCAGCGGGTAAATATATTGTTCCAAGGGCGATCAAACGCTGGATAAACGTTTACCGTACCTTATGAACAGTCTGCCCGCTGATATTAGACTTGAACCAAGTAAAAGTATTCTCGCCAAATCATTAAAAAAAATATTATATGGACAGCTTAACATAATTAAACATACTTAAATTATCATAATGTAATATATTATATAAATGTAAAATATACATAAATAGCCTTAAATATCATAATGTAAGATTACCGTAATTATAATTATTATTATTTATTGATTAGTATTAATAATGTAAGGCAGTGGTAGCCCAGTGGTAACGCGCTCGCTTGAAAAACCGAGTGAAGCGAGTTCAAATCCCGGGTCTCGCACCTCTGATATTGTCTATATATGTGCGAATCATTTCCAACATGATTACCACTTGTCTTAACGGTGAAGGAAAACATCGTGAGGAAACCTGCATGTCTGAGAGAACCTAGCAAGTTTTCAAAAGACATGTGAAGTCCGCCAATCCGCACTTGGCCAGCGTGGTGGACTATGGCCTGATTCCCCTCGTACTGAAGGGAGGCCCGAGCCCAGCAGTGGGACGTTAAAAAGGGCTGAATACATACATACATACATACAAGATTACCGTGAGACTCTGATCCCACAGACATTGTGCTGTTGTGCAAGCAGTTTTGTGAGTCCATTGTAAAATTATAAGTAAATCATATCTATTTTGTATGTTTTTGCAAAAAAAATAGATCAAAATGAAACTTGACATAAGCATTGGATTCAGGATATGGACAAGAACTACCTTTCATTCTTGAAAAAGTGTTACAATTTTCATGTTTAGGCTATGTAGTTGAAGGCATAATTGGACCCAGTTATGCAAAAAACAGCCATGTGCGTAAAAGTACCAACAGAGTTATAAGCATTTTTCTGTCGATAGTTGCACTTGGGTTATGTTTTGTTTTTCTGGTTATTTTACAATTGAACTATATTTATATAAGTATTGTTTATTTTTTATAATTATTTTATTTATTATAATAAAATGCTTATAACTCTGTTGGTACTTTTACGAATATGGCTGTTTTTTGCATAACTGGATCCAATTATACATCATACACTTGTCTGTCAGATAGAATCTTGTGCGGTCACAATAACTTTATGATAAAACAATAAAGAGAAACAATCATTATTTATTTATGTGTCTCTTTAAGATATAACCAGTAATTATAAAATAAATCAAAATAACGAATAACTCTTATGATTATCCTGAATCTTATAAAATTTTAATATTCTCGG